TACCATAAAAGGGGTGTGCAACCCCCAGAGAGTAATGTAGTACCACCCCTTCGACTCGTCTTTGCCTAAGACTCTGGGCTAGAAGAGGGTCTGGAAGACATGCAAAGGCATATCCTCCCCCATCGACACTTCCTTCCATAGGAAGTAAGACCCCACCAACTAGCTCCACTCATTCGGCAGAACCTGGGTCGGTGACAACATAAAATTCCTTAACACTGCCCTGAAGAAAGGGTGCAGAGGAAGACGCATACCTGCTTTAAACAGGAATTCACTAACTGCGACACATCCGGGCCTCGGATAACAAGTCCGTTCATTGGCCTCGAAGACTAGCATTTCTATGTTATGAGGAACGTAGTACCTCTCACTTATCTTCCCCAACCTCTTCTGGGTCATATTTGAGGGTATCCTAGGTACGCCCCGCTCCTTCTCGTAATTTACTGGCTCCTCGATCATAGCATAATATTCAACCTCGGAGTCCCCCTTATGAACTGTCCCCTCCCCAAATGATGCGACAGTGACTGCCCCTACCCGAAGTGGACTCCATATCAGAATAAGTTTGGAAAATGGACAAAGATCGCAAAACAAGTTATTCTCACAAGAAATACCTACATAACCAACTAAGGAAACCGAAGGATGCTGAAAAACGGGAACAGAGCAAAGCTTCAACGTCGGAAAATGATATTTTCGAAGAACACAAAGAATTGCAGAGATAGAAAAATGGGAGTCTCCTGCCTTTCATACAAGTCCAGGACGAACACCAGCCTTCAGATCAAGGCTCATCAAATCTGGACCCTTCATTACAGACCAAATCCGCTACGTAGAATTCAAACCGTTTTCAAAATCAACGCCTTCGATTCAAACGTGCTCCCCATGCACCTCTCCAAACGTATATCCTTTTAGAAGCGCCAGCTATAGCCATCATTGCACATTCAATGCAGCAGCCGTACGTGCCTTAGAAGTTGAAACGACTCGGCTGCTTTTTCTTGGTAACATGCACAAAACATCAAATCATTGACACAAACATCGAAGACAATCATAACTTTTAACAAGCCTCGGCAGGTTCGATCCACTCATCGCCTCGACTTCTTCTTCGCTTCTTCGTAGTTCAACCACATCTTAACAAGCCTCGGCAGGTTCGATCCACTCATCGCCTCGGCTTCTTCTTCTGCTTCTTCGCAGTTCAGCCACATCTTCGCAAGCCTCAACAAGTTCGATCAACTCACCACATTGACTTCTTCTGCTTCTTCGCATTTCAGCCATACCTTCACAAGCCTTAGCATGTTCAATCCACTTTACCCCCTCGTCTTCTTCATCACCTTTTCCAATCACAGCAACACCACCACTTTCAACTCCAACCATGATATAAATATTTACACTTGGACTTGGGAGACTATTAGTTGAAGTACAGAAAATTCTTTCAATTTTTACCCGATACGCTTCAACACAATAAAAGTCCACGCATTACATAAATGATCATACTTGGACTCGGGGGACTATTGTTACGTGTTGACACACTTGACCGACCTACTAGGGCCCATGACCTATTTCTTCCGAACCACGTGACATTTTATCCGAGGCCTCCAAGCCAGACGTGGCCCAAGTGCTAATGCCGAAGCTAATATGCCGAGGTGATCTTGTAGCCGAGGCCCTTCCTTCCGAGGCCCAAACTTCTTCGAGGTCCTGAGGCTCTAAGCAGTACTCCTTCTAAGAGATCCGGTCTTATACAAGGATCCTTCTTGATTGATTGATAGGACATCCATCATCGAGTGCAAATATCTTGTCTTATCAATGTAGTGGCAGAGCTGCCAATTAATAAATGTGTAGCAGGCTAGGAAGTCAAATGTGATACCTATAATTTGATATGTAAACTTACGAGATGAGGTCATGTGTACTTCCAACCAAGGGCCATGATCTAAGTTGTAATATTATAAATACTCCCTCATGTATCTCTCACAAGGGTAATGCAAGATTCAACACAAGACCAAACACAACATTCTTTACATTTTACTCTCTTGCAACACACACAAATTCATACTCGCATTCTACAAAGATCGATTGGTAATTATTGTACAATCGTTATGCAAACATCTCGTCAGATTCCGAACGTTCTCGTCCCGCGCCTTTGAGTCACTCACATGCCCTCTTTTTGCTATTATTTATAGACCGTCCACTTGTTTTAGCGTGTTGGACCAGACTTACGTGTGTACGGGTGGGTCTGGTATCTGTTGGCAACATATTTTGGGGTCAACAGTATAACACCTAATTTGATGCAGAATGCAGAATAGTATTCAAGTTATTCAGAAAAGAGAATTTTAACTTTTTAAGGCTCGCAAAACCTACCACCGTAGGTATACCGGTCATTCTGTGAACTAGAAGTGAAATAGCTTGACCCAATCAACATCTAGAGGAGGGGTGAATAAGTATTTATACGAAATTTTTACCAATTAATTAATAAATGCAACAAGTCACAAATATTAATTTGTCCAGATCAATTCACATATTTTACTATCCTATGTTGAAATACCAAAAACAAGTAAAATGCAAAAATTATAAAGAACACAGTTATTTGATGACGGAGAAACTCCAATATGGGTAAAACTCCGGGCTCAAGCCAGTACGAATTCCACTACAAATGAATAAATCACATACAATCCATCAGACTTAACCCACACTAGTTTTTCTGACATCCTGATTGGAGTATTTTCTAAAGCTCTCCTGGAATGCGTGATCTTGCACCAACGCCCGGCTCCTAACCCTTCTGGATTGCGTGCTACACCAATTCTCGACTCTTGATTACGTTTATCTTTTGTGGATTCAAGAGAACTCCCCGCTCTCTAATGATTGGAACATCGATCTCCTTCCCTAATCTTCAAGATTCATCAAATGCTCTGGAAGGATGTGTTATAGTGTTTGAAGAAAGTGGTTTTGATGTTTTTATGTGATTGCACTCAAAAAATGTGGGATCGAATGAATGAATCAAAAAGTAATATGTTTTTCTCCAAGTTCAATCCTTAAGTAAAAATTGAAAAACGGCGCAATACAATTTATATGGATGTTTTTGGTCATATCGGTAGGGTCAAACTCTCGAAAAAAAAGGAAAATAGGGTTCTTCAAGTAACATTGTCGCTTAAGCGAAAAGCGAACGACGCTGTTTCACTCGAGCGAAGTAGGGGCGATAAGCGAGTGAAAAACTTTCTGTTTTTGACGCTCAAGCGACCACTTGACAAAATTTCAAAGACACATCTTGCCCTACTTTACAACTCGAACCCTAACATACTTTGAAAAATTGCAACTTAGTCCCCATCGTTTACACATGTACAAATTGACCCCTAACTTTTAAACATTGACAAATTGACCCCAAACTCTTGAACAATTACAATTTGACCCTTTTGTTCACGGAATTGCCAACTCAAAATCTAACAAGAAGTTATTTTGAGAGAATAGAAGGGCAAGAACTCCATTATGAAGTGAAATTGAATGAGATCTCTAAAATGGAAATAGGAAACACTTTCTAGTTATTAAATGTAACAACATTTTATACCATAAATATGGAAAAGTAGAAAGGGTGCTGATCTTTATAATAGTAAAAGAAAATATGGGGAAACAGAATCAGTAATACCTATTCTGAAAGAAAAGATTTATCAATGTACATTAATTTAGTGATGAAGATTTCCATCGAAATTTTCCTGAAGGAAATCATGTAATTAGGTTGAGGCATCGCTTGAGAACATGATGAACTGACCATGGACTTTCCCCTACAAGTCCTTTCGCTCAGGGGCTATTCCATGCACCGCTAACTTACGGATGTTTGAGTTAACATACAAGATATCGTCCATGTTGTTAATAATGTACCCCATCGTTTCTGTAATCATGGAGGCTTCATTGCATGAGATTAGATTTGTCAATTGTCGTGTGATGAGTGACATGAGTCGGCCCTTCAACTAGACAATGCATAGCCAACTCCTAGATTTGTCATTGGACAAGGATATCATTTAGGAAAGTATTTTATGCATAGATGTCTGGATTCTGCTTCAAACGAAATTCAACTTTCTTGACAACATATTCAATCTTTTGATAAAAACTAGTTCCACAGACATTATCTGAACTAACAACATAAGCTATTAGTATTATAGGTTAACTCTTTAGCCATTCATACCCCAAAGAATAAAAAATTTCACACATTGTGTTTTTCAATTAATTTCAAGATGTTTAAGTCCCAGATTGGACTGGTCTTGTGAACCCAAATGCATATATGAAATTCTCGATAACTGATTAGATCATATGTCCTTCACTTATAATTTCCCACAACAGCAAGGACAGAATTCCTAGGATTATCACATGTGTAATAGTGAACAATGCGGTTCCCATTTTCCTTTGGCATATCGCGCTCTTCCCATCCTGTAAGCACTTTCTCAACTGACATCCTGACTAAGCGGAGACGATCACTCAATAGTTTAATTCAATCTAGTGTATTAAATAAGTCATTAATTTTTGAGTCAATCACTCAATAAAATTAAAATGTGGCATATTTGGTTTTAAAAAAAAAAGTATCGTTAAATAAATTTATAAACCGCTGCCACTTTAGATATTGGAATCTATTCTTATACGTATCAATGTGATGTTAGAGCGAAGGCATACATTGTACTCCTCGTCTTCGGAAGGGATAATTTTTTCTTCTTTTGTATTATTTTCTTTAAAAAGAATATTATTGCAATGCAACGATTATTCTATAAAAATTTTAAACAAAAAGCTTCTAAAAGGAGCCAACCTCTTTCTTGGAGTTCAAGATTTTCTAGTCTCCACCTCTAGTTGAGATATTCTTAACCACAGTTTTGAGATTTTACCAATGACCACAAATAATTTATTTATTTATTTTTTTTTTCTCAACATTGGTCGAGAAAGTCAAACTTATAACGTTATTTCTTAACCAAAGGCAAGAACCTCTTCCAAATATCAAGAAAATAAAAAATAAAAATCTATTTATCAACCAGCAGTGAAAATCTAGAGTAGAAGTCGATTTGGAGAGAAAGGAAATACAGAACACAAGAACTAAGTGCAGAGAAGCCAGTAGCCCCGGCATTATTACCAAACAGACACAAAGTATACACATATGGCCTTTTCCAATGTTCAGACAAGGAAATTAGCCTCACACACACTTTGTCTTTACGATACGCATTTTCAACCCCGTCTCTTTGTCGATTTGTAAAGCACAACTGTCACATATTTGGCCTGGAACCGAGAAGTCGAACCTAGTGCAACCACAGACGGGGTGCTCATATCCTCCTGTATGTAGAGATGGTCCAACACCCCATGTTGAGGTTTTGAAAGAGAAGGTGGAATCTCCATGTGAGGTGCTGGAGCATTCAGTAAAGTATGCTCAAGTTGTGGAGGAACCATTGGCGGGGGTTCCTTCTCGTAGTCCTCGGGGTCAGAGTACATGTTGTTGTAGCTGGAATCGGGAGACTGAGGCTGCTCGAAACTGGCTCTGCTCTCAGTCGCGTCTGGGACATAATCCTGCAGCAGAAATCAGCAAGCACCATTTTCCTTAATAAGTAAATCACTTCCGCAAGGATGGAATTCTAAGTATTTACTCCTTTTGCTTATTTTTTCTGATAGCCCCAAAAATATGTTCTTCCTTCATAGCCAAGTGTAAACTTCCAACAAGCTCAATCATTCATGTATGGCGAATTTGAAGAAAGTGTAACTCAGTGGGGCTATGGTTCGATCTACCAATTCTGATAAGATCTACAAAAGAAATTTTCAATTTTTCCACTGAAGAGCAGCGCTGGAACTAAATGTGGGCTGTCGAGAAGCAATATTCATATAGATGGGAATGTCAAGATGGAACTACACCAAAACAAGAAGACATAATGAACAAATAATCATATATTTGACTTGGTTAAAATCAGTATATATCGACGATAAACAATTAAATGGTTTAGGAACGCGTGGATGGTTGCTACATTGACTAGGAAAAGCAGTTTGCCCCAATTGGCACGATAAGCTAATCAACAGCATTTTAATTCGAATGTCTAGCACATCTAAGGGAATTCACATTTTCCGAGTAAAATTCAATTTCTTTCTAAAAATGTCTCTTTCAGAAACACTTTTTTTCAATCCTGTCAAAGGTACAAGTCTGTAATAGATAAATAATCTGCACATAGACTGAGATCGAATAAGAAAAGAAAGAAAGTTCGAGGGATACAGAGAGCAATTAATCTAGGAGAGAGAGATGGCAATGAATGTTGATTTTTGCATAAAAACAAAGGTTACTACTCTTTACCACCATTTAAACTTCTAAGAAAAATAAATTAATAAATAAAACTTCTGGAAATAAAAGTAAGATATGGACGAGTCCGTGCATGGATAAGCAATACCGATGAGGACAGAATTCAGAGGAGAACACAATATGTACCTTCAAGTCTAAGATATTGCAAACATTGCCTGCTCTATCCAGCTCCCACGGGATGTCAGGGGCATACCTCCACTGTCCATCAACAATGAACCTGTATTGATAAACTCCTGAAGGAATTTTTCTCATAACGACGAACTCCTTCCCTGTTCTCCTCATGCGCTTCCTGAGAAAAAGATTACAACTTTTAAAATTTCCTTATAATATACAACAACGACAAACTAAGCCTTATCACCAGTAAATTGAGTTTGGCTGCACAAATCCTTCTTCACCATTTCGTAATGTTCATTGCTAGATCAATTGGAAGATCTAAAGCAACTATTTTTTTAAAAACTAGTATTGGTTTGAAGCAAAACATGATCCAAGTAACTTACTGGCAAAATTTTCTGATATGTAAGGCTAAAACTAGAAACAAAAAATTGAATGGTTATGATAAAACAATGAATCTTGCCTTTTTCTCCAATTATCCCATGATCCAACCACATAAACTTCCCAGCCACCATGGGTCCATGTGATCATTGTTGGAATTTGAGGCTCATGGTGCATTTCTTCTTCATACACTGAGGTAATATTCGACCATGAAGGGCCAGCAGTGCTCATTGACTGAGGTCTTTGAAAGGGGAACATTGTATTCTAAAAATACAAGAGAGATGAAAGATCACTACTCTTGCACTACTCTCTTAAAGCAAGCAAAGAGACGTAACCTCACGGACCTCAAAACTTTTATAGGAACAACGTTACAAATTAGTGATGTGCGTTAGGTAATATTTTTGGTAGCGGTGCGATAAATGCCAAGTAGGTGACTTAGAAAAGGTTATAAAATTCAGAAGTTCTGTTTCAAAAGAGAACTTCGTCGCAAAATACGTACGAAGACAAAAGTTTATGAGTCGACCTGGCCTTTGTAAATTTTACACCAAATTAAATGCAACCAACGATTAACCAATATTCACCTTCAACATATTCATATTCATATTCATACAGTTAGTACACAATAGTTAAACTTAAGAAGGATAACCACTTAACATCCTTTCTAAATTATGGTTTTTGACCCTCTAAATATTTGTACACCATTTATAAGAGAACTTTTAGCATTAAAAATCCTACAAAAGCCCATCAATTTCGATTAAAAATCCCAGAAAATGTGACATTGACTATTTCCACTGGCATTGGCAGAAAGCAATATTTTTAATCCAGCATGAATTCAAAATCAAAGCTATATGTGACGGTCCGCCTTTTCGGCCCCAGAGTTGCCACAGCCCCCGAGGTGGCCTTTCCCCACACATGCAGCTGGCAAGCTAAGATATACAACATAAGGAGGTGGGAAGCTTGCCATTGTATCTGTGTATGGGACATCGTTAATGCACTTCCGAGAATTTAGCAATAAACGCTCAATAAGCAATCTTGCCATGCCACATGGATGGGGGAGTTCTCTGGTCCGTGACTTATAGCTCTCTTTAGTTCATCTGGCAAATTGTTGCATGCTAAATTCTCCATGCATACATCCGTCAGCAGCCTAAGACTCCTCAATTCCACAAGACTTTCACTTAATTTGAACAGAAAAATTGCGTATTTACTCCACACTTTCAGTACAATAAGTAGTTGACAGTCACAAAAATTTATTTATAAAAAGTTGACTCAGCAGAGGTTTGAACATCGTAGAAGAGTGAGAAGCCATTACCATAGGACTAGGTGGTGCGGACTGATCCTGACCCACGAACCACGAACCATGAGCATGATAGCTAACGCTCGCACCATCTTGATCAGCCATGCTATCCTGCGCACTTCCAACGCCACTCACAACCCCTGTGAGCTTTTTTTCCCGTAATCTTCCATTCAATTCACATTGCCCATTATTACGTTTATACCAATTTCTCGAATTTAATTAAATAATTGTAAAATCCTTTAAATTTTAGGTTTCCATAGGATTTATAAAGATTTCATTAATATGGAAAATACATATAACCAAATCTTTTAAAATTTCACATGAAATTTTTACGGAATTTGTGGAAATCTATTCAAATCAACAAAATTCATTAGGATTATAGTCTTTTAAAATTCATCAAAATCTTATTTGAGGACGTCCCATAAATCGTACATTGGTAGTATTAAATGATATGTGATTGATATTTTTAGATTTACTATTAGGATTATTAATGTAATCCTTTGAATTCCTGTGAGCTTGGAACTACAATGAGAGACTCGAGTCACATCATTTTCTTGAATGCTTTCACTAATTTTAGGAAACTTTCATAAATTGACTCAAAAGTATAATCTTTTTTCTGATTATTCTTCGATTCAGGAATTATATGATTTAGTTGGCAGTTTTCAACTCGTATAGTTAAGCACCTTCTTTAATTGGCCTATGAAGACTTTTTTCTTAACTACTAGTTTCTGGCCATGCAATGCATGGCTTGAATTTTTTTTAAGGTGATATTAGCGTGTTGACTTATTTGAGTATTAAGTATTCATGAGGGAGAATTACATTGA